TATACTTTATACTTTAAAAGGCGTCTTTATTTTGGAATATCGAAAAAAATTTAACCAGCCACCACTACACCCACCGCTGTCTGCGTGGAAAAATGTAATTAAATTTGATTTGTACTGACAACGCAAATCAGTAATCTAAGGAACTCCAAAGCAAGCTCTTAACGATAACATCTCATCCCTCTTGATATATGTACATATGTATGTAATGCAGATGGCAATCTAGTGTTGTCATTGCATGACTAAACGAAAAATAAGAAACAAATGCAATGTGTGGAAGATGGAAATAAGTTGCTGGGAGAAGGTTGTGTTTTGCATGCCTCACCTGGGTGGTTGGCGGCGGGAGGCAGAAATTAAGAAAAACTTCTTCACGCCCGAATTGACTATGTACTCACATACATAAATACATACACATACACATAAATACATTCGTACATGTGTCCTGGTAGAAATTAAATTAAATTGTGGATTGTTGCGAGACATGAATTGCGGAAGGAAGCTGTCGAACATGTCAATGGCTGGCATTGGTTTGCAGCAGGTCTTCGTCACTCATGTAAGCATGGTGTTGGCTCACAGTTATTTTCTCTTTTTCTCTACGCCACTCTTACCTCTCTCCAACAACCCACCAACGTGGACGCCTAATGAATTGCCTATTAAAAGCGAATTATCTGTTGAGCCATAAGCGAGTCGAGGTGGTCGAGGAGCGTGGAGAAAAAAAAAATTGCAAATCAGCAGCTACATCAGGACATGGGCTTCTGCTTCTTCCCCCCCCCCCCGCCAACTCACCAATACTCTCTCTCATCGGCGACACGCATCTCTAAGGATTTTGTAAATTCATTTCGATTTCATGTTAATCTATTTTTTATTTCAAATTTCTTTTGCTATTTCCTGAAACAAAATGGCTGTAACGGTGGCGGTGGCACGGAGGAGCAAACTCGCATTGTAGCCAATTCATTTCCATCAATTCGTTGCACTGGAAATGAGAAATACTTAATTTAAATTCGATTTTCGCATATAATCGTTATCCTATACAACAACAACAGCAACAAAAACAACAACAAACAGCAATAATCCATAGAAATCCAACTCATTGCATTCGCTACTTTTTGTTGTGCTGCGCGTTTAGCGACGGGATAAAAGTTTTAATACTTTGGCGTCATCGTTGGATCCCCACAACCAACACAAGCCGAGCGTAGTTCATCAAGTTTACCACTCGGCAACTGGCAGTGGCTTGAGTAACTCATAAAAGCAAGTAGCCTCTGCAGATATCAAGCAGGCTGCCTTTCGGCGATTCGCCTAAACCCAAACCAATACCAATACTCAGTGTAGGGGCTGGCACGGTGGGCTGCGGTGTACGCGCCTGTAATGCGAAGGAAATTATCTCCTTGGAGATTTTAAATTATTTCACTACTGAGCTGAACTTCACCAACTTCCCGCACTAACTGACTGACGGACTGTCTCAATTGGTTTGGTAACTTTGGTTGCGAAATTACTTGGCGGTGAACTCGATGGATTTGAGCTCTCTGTTGGGTATTGCAATCGGTAACTCATTTAATATTGTAAAGCAATCAAATTATATTGAAAGTCGCAGGAAGTTTTTTAATATAAATAAAGTTCTAGGGTAGTGAAGTAAAAAAAAGAAAGAGTTGCCAAATGCAAATATGAAGGGTATGCTGTAAGGATCCTTTTAGTATATGCGACTTTTCGGATATTGTCATCGTTAATGTTGCTGTCTCATTTAGCATTGTTTGCTATATGATCTTGAAGAAATGCCTTTCCTTAATGTTCAATTTAATAGTAAATCTTGTCAAGAAAGATTCAATGCTCACCATAATTGATGCTGGTCTTTAAATAGAAGAAATATCAGCTTCAGTAGTGATGTAGAAGCAAGATCGCGTGTACGCCGACTGTTTCTACGATGCCGGAAGCCCATTCGCTTCGCATCCTTCTCCAGTTCCGAAGTAACAACTAACACTGGCGGTGCTGATTATACTGCTATTCAACACACTCCACCAAATTTATCGCTCCTGTAGAAGATTTTACATTCTCGATTAAATCTTGCTGTTCGTATTATTTTCTCTAATATGAGTCTATATAAGTGGGGGTTCACAAAAGTTCGGTAAGTTGACCAGAAAAATAAAAAGTAATAAAATTCTTTTTGTATTTATTCGCAACCTTTGTCCTTTTTTGTTGTATGTTTTCTTCAATCCGTCGTATATTATAATAAAATCCTTAAGATCTTATCTATAAATCTTGAATGCCTGGCAGATCAACCCACAGCCTAGACCCCTGAACGTAAGAACCTGAAGCTTGGACTGCGCGTTCTGCTTTTGATGTATGAAATTATTTTCCGGGAAGTGGACCTGAGACTGACCTATTCGAAAAAGTCGAATTTATTTTAAACCGTTTGATTTACTTAAATTGACATGAGGGCACTTTTCCTTCCGAGAAGTTGACCTGGGGCCGATTCTATGGCTCGGTTTTACTTAATATGTGGAGCATATGTAGGTGGATCTTTGATAAGGTGAAGAACTTTTTTTTTGAATACTATTCTTTCTTTTTCATATCTTTAAATATAGTTGTTTTAAGTTATTATAAAGTAAAGATCATAAAAATCTTATTAGTATTATCTTCGAGTTCCACGCGGTCGAAGTCTCGGGCAACCTCTGGTAAGCAATATTAAGGCTTATGCCACGGTAATTAGTGCACTGTAGTTGCATTTGATTCGGCCATATTCCACAAAGAAACCAAATCATACATCTTGTCAGTTCTTCGCCCCGATGCTTGAGAAGCTCTCCCGGTAAGCCATTAGCTCCTGTTTCAGTCACACATCGGAACATATATTCTTCAATTATCAGTTGGGATGTCAGGATTATCCTCTACGCAAATTGCACTTTTTACTGTCAACAGACGGCAGAAGTTTGAACACGAATAGCTCTGAACATCGGTAAACAGATTACCATTTTCTGGTCCCTCATAAATATACTTCGAGTAAGGCACTGCCTCTTATATTCATGCATTTCGGCTTCTTACAAAATAGTAGTCTGAATCGATATTAGGTAATCGAAGCGTACGAATGACCAGAGCGCTGGAGATATAACTTTCATCCGATTTCGGGGGGGCGTCTTGCTTAATTCATTACCTGAATGAAGGTTGAAGGCGCCCATGGTAGATATATACAGACACATCGTCCCTCTCTTCTCTCCGAGCTTGCGTACGATATGTCAAAATATCCCGGTAAGGTTTTCGCCCATCGTCATGAACAGCAGTACTCTGCGACGGGGTGGCGCCTGTGAAGTACCCTACCTTTTAGTCAAAAGGTTTACAGGTATTGAGTATTGTTTAAGTATAAGAAGGACTACATCCCCAAACTCGAGCTTTGACTTAAGCTATTGACAGATGCGGCCGAGGTAGCCGAGAGGTTAGCATTGCGTACTGCCATTCGGAGAGCTCAGGTTCAAATCCTGGTGTCATACTAACAGCTAAAAAGTTGTAGAAGGCATGATGAAAGGCTCCTGACACTCGGAGGCGGCTTAGTAAATACAAACTTTGGATGCCTCCATTTGTTGCAAAAACATCGAGACGCCAAACCACATATTGGAGGAGCAGCTCAGCCGATTAACAGATGCGGCTTTTCATGGTTGAAAATCCGATCTTGAGACAGACCAAAACATATTGATGAATTTCTTTGTATACTCTATATATATGTAAATATAAACCCAAAATAAGCTAATTTAATATTAAAGTGCTCCTCACGATAAAACATATTAAATGAAAAATAGAACAACAGGAAAACAATACAATTACGCAGACGACACGCGACTTGCCGAAAAATATCAAGTGCGATGCAGACAGCTCCTTTTGGTTTTTATTATTGTAAAAAGCAGAAAACCAGTGGAGCACTTCAGCAAACACATGTAATTCAACCCATTTATCTTGAGCGCAGGGAATATACAAAAAAAGATGCATAATTTACAAGGTTTGCAGCGAATAATTCGCACATCACGAGGCAAAGTCACCGAGACTGCAGGCAGCTGAGGCGCACAAATATATCACACATGTTCTTGCCCCACACATGCTACCAACGCAACATGACTTACCACCAACAGATGCCACATACTCGTTACAAGCATATCCTTTTTACGCGCGCATTGCGTGTTGCTGCAGCCTCATTTTTTCATGTTAATTTTTTCATGATTTTTGCAGTGCGATTTTGTTTCTTTTTTTTTTGTTAGCAACTCATTAAGCGCACACGCCGCCACGGCACATAACACTTTACCCACAGCGTGGGGGCGGCGTAGTGAGAGCAGCGCGCAATAAGGATACTCTAGCCGTGCGTGTAGGTAGCAGTGCCCTGGCATAATTTAGTATGTTTGCTGAAGTGTTAATTTTAAACGACGTCATCAGCGTTGGTGCTGGCGTGTTTTCGCGGTTTTCACGATTTGGCAGGTGATTTTTGCATACGCTCAGCTTTTTTCGTCCGTTTTATGCATATTTAATGTGTTTTCTCATTTTTTTTTGTTTGCAGCGGCCGCTTAATTTGCGAAAAAGGATATGCGTGTTTTTTATGCGTTGCAACGATGAATTATTTGTGCTGTGATGTGTAAAATGTACGATTTTCTTTTTAATTTTCACATGTGTTTTTTTTTTGCGGTGAAAGTGTAGTTAGGGAGCAAATTACTGATTTACTGGAACTGCGATTAATTGAAGCTTTAAAGTTCTTACTTGTTGTACTGCACGTTGCATATATGTATACGAGTTAAGATCCATTGAATTTTTTTTAAATAAATTTAAAAGCTAAAAATATTAATTTTAATGAGGAGAAGTTATTGGGTTTGTTTATTAAGACTGGAAACAGGGGTCGAACCGAGCGTTCTCTGAACGTATAACTCGTCACGTAAATTTATTTGGCATTACGCCATACGTGAACGTGTGCTCGTTGTCGTAATTCGGTATGATAAATTCGGTGTTAACGAGTTTTTCCCTAAGAACTGTCATTCGATTACAAATTTGTGTTCGTAAACAAGCAAGCAATAAAAATGTAAGAAATTTATTTTAAAATTTTATAAAAATTAAACAATATTAATTGATTTTAGGACAAATTCAATTGAAATTAATGCGGCACTAAAGGAGCTCACCGCTGAATTTATGCGGTCACATCCAAATTTAATTTTTGCCAAAGTGCCTACAGTTCAAAGCAAGTGCTATAATTTATGTAAGGAGTTGAAACGAAAGCTCAATATTCTTGGCCCGTCAGTTAAGGATATCAAAACGTGGCAGAAAGTATACAAACATAGATTTTCCTTTAACTCGTACGACTGCCGATACGTTCATGAAACGCCCGATTCGATCCAAGAGTTCGAGCGGAACAGACAGACGGAACAGCTGCCAAACACAAAATAGAGCAAGTTAGAGCAACTCGGATCAAAGACAACTAATGAACCATTTTCCGGGCAACAGTTTTCAAATGCGAATGCTCGATATCTCAATTGTGAACTTAATAAAAAATTTTTTTAATTTCTTTCAAATATTTTTTAATAAAATCGATATTTTTATTGTCACTTGTACTAATCCTTTCTTATATAATATTATATTTTGGTCTCTTTCGTTTTCTAACCGCATCTGTCAAATAAAATTTTGCTTGCTCCCAGTTACTCTGCCAAAAAGGTCAGAGCAGAAAATCGTTCTCTTAGTTGCTCTACTTCTGCTTAGAACAGATTCATTAAACAAAAAGTAGAGCAAATAAGAGCAAAAAGGTTTTCATGAAATAGAGTAACCTGGCGTAATTTAGAACAGCTCAATAAGCAATCCTATTAAATAATTCTATTTTTTTTATTTTTATGGTATATAGATAAAGGTGCTAGTTTGGACTAAGTAAGAAGCCCTCTACTCTGTTGGAAAGACCAAGTAGAGAAGGACCTGGCTGTATTTGGTGTTTTTAATTTGCCAAAAGAAGAAGAAGATTAGAACCCCATCTACATTTTTCTAGATATTACTTCAAATATTTGAGATATCTTCATATAACAATCGATTCTCTATATTTTTCAATTTTTTTTCAATTCTATATATACCTACCTTCAAGGAAGAGGCTGAAATCTTAGCAAAAAATACTTAACAAAACTGCGTAACCATTCGAACCCCTTGGCTAACACCATGGCTCATGCGGAGAAGAGACAAAGCAGCCGCCTAAGGAGCAGCATCAAGCCAGCAGCTTACTCCTACTATTGGGCTTTAGATTTTATTTATTCTAAGATTTTATTACTTATTGTTAGGCCCTCGATGTCGATGCAGAGTCAATACATAAATATTAATGTTAAAAAAAAAATTTTTGCCCGTTTTCATACTACCCTAACGTTTTGGATATAGCCTCATCGGATTTCAGTCCATCTGTTATTTTTAAAAACTAAATATATTATATACAATATATATTACATAACTAAATATATACGTTACTCCACGAGGCTTAGTAATTGGGAAGAACCTCTTTGAGCCGTTTGGTACCAAAAGATGTTTCAGACAGGGTGAGAGAATAATAATCTCTTGTCATCAAAGAAGTAGTAATTGCATTCGGGACTTGCCTCCGATGTCACTGTTGATAGTCATAACTTCGAGGTCGTAGATAATTTCATATATCTAGGAACCAGCATTAACACCAATAATAACGTCAGCCTTGAAATCTAATGCAGAATCACTCTTGCCAACAGTTGCTACTTTTCTCTCCCTTAGCGGGCACTGTATCGTATACCCTTGAAGCTGTAGTGATATCTTCCACGACCTAGCCAAGTAGCCATTCTCTTAATTCGCCACCATTCATAGGCTTCATATAGGGATTTTGGTTCGCTATCTTCACTGTTGCCATGTCCATAAAACACATCACTTCTTTGCTCTGTGCATAGGTATGCTCTGGTTTGGACCTTTCAATAAGTAAGCGCAAACTGTCATAAAATATTCCAGCCTTTTCTCTGTCGAGCACCTTTTCGAGCTCTCTTTTCTCTCTTTTTCTGTCAGCCAATGCTAATATATTTTTTCTTAACTTTCAATATCTGTCCCAGAAGATTCGCGTTGTGGTCGAGATATATTGCGCTATTGGCAGTCTGTCCATAAGTCCTTTCTTTGATAATATCAGCTTTAGTTTGAATTTTTTCAAAAACCGATCGTATTTCTGCCACAAGGATGTTGAAATGGCAACCCACAGTTCCCTCATCTGGGATCAATTGTATTAGGGAGCAATACCACAAGTACTACAGACAGCTGTTATTGCACCTTTCGGTATAAACTCACTCTTGTATTGATTAAATGCTCTTATACTGGAATATTGTAATGCATACTGTCTTGTCGTGAAAACTGTGTTATACGACACGAGTTGAAAGTACCTCCTTAACTTGCTCTGGTGATGTCCCTTATTCTTATGGAAAGATTCAACTGCCGCTCGGCGTTTCCCAAGGCTAAAGGAACACTGATGAACTAATTTCCGAAATATCGCTGACACACGCTATTACAGTATGGTCAGCATATTCAGCGCCGGTAACACCCTCCATTCCATGGCTTTTTGCAAAGTCCTCCTTTGAAACTCCTGGTAACTAAAACTCCGATGCCTCCCAAAAGTGCTGCCTCTCCGCCGCTATGTCTGAATTCGGTATCCCTGCAAAACTTATGCGGCTGTGTAAACTGACGTAAAGCAACGCTAAAAGCTCTATTAGGATCGGAAAGCACCTCTCCCAACCGTTCAATAACAAAGGGGGTTTCAGACAAGCTGATTGTTTATCATGTGTCTTTTTTAATTTATTGCTGAAGAAACAATACGAATTGCAGAGCTGAAATGAGAAGGTACAATCTTCTATAAGAGTGTTCAACTGCTGACGCGCGCTGAAAATTGACATTATTGGCCTCAACAACAGCACTATGAGTTCTGCTTCCTTCAGGCTAGCTAATGAAACGAAGGATATAGATTCGGTAGTGACGAAACTCTAAAAGTCTCTTATCGTTCCCGTCCAACTGTGCGGTGCTTCGAGATGTAGTCTTCGCGCATTTGCAACGACGAATACCCCAGAGCACGATGAGCTGTCCGAATAATACGATGGCATTGATATATTTTAGCGAATGAAGAGAGAGATAGGAAGATGAAGACCTCCACTCTATTCGGAAGATAAGGTGGCGAGCGACCTGGTTTCATTTGGTATTGCCAACTGGCAACAAATAGCAAAAGGCAGTACCGAAAGCGCGCTATTGTTGATTCGACTATTATCGCATAAGCGATGCCCACGCCAAAGAAGAAGAAGTAGCTCCTCGGCAAGATATTTCCAACCTTTCTCAGTTCTGGTATGAAATAAAGATCCTCATAAAGAAAACATCAGCAATGCGAAGGCGGCTTATATCAAAACTGAAGAGCCGTCCATTACATTTAAAAACATCAAGACGCATACGAATTTTGGTTTACATCTTCTGCGAGCCATTAGATCCAAATTTGCAGTTTTCAAGATATTCTTTTAGATTTTTGAGAAGAGTTCTTGATATATGATCGCCTCAAGGCATTGATATATATTATATTTCAGCGAATGAAGAGAGAGACTATTGGAAAGATAAGGTGGCGAGCGACCTGGTTTCATTTGGTATTGCCAACTGGCAACAAATAGCCAAAGGCAGTACTGCAAGCGCGCTATTGTTGATTCGACTATAATCGCATAAGGGGTGCCCACGCCAAAGATGAAGAAGCAGCTCCTCGGCAAGATATTTCCAACCTTTCTCAGTTCTGGTATGAAATAAAGCTCCTCATAAAGAAAACATCAGCAATGCGAAGGCGGCTTATACCAAAACTGAAGAGCCGTCCATTACATTTAAAAACATCAAGACGCATACGAATTTTGGTTTACATCTTCTGCGAGCTATTAGATCCAAATTAGCAGTTTTCAAGATATTCTTTTCGATTTTTGAGAAGAGTTCTTGATATATGATCGCCTCAAGGCGTTTTCGTTTTCAATTCCCATATACTTTTTTATCTGTCGCTAGCATCGACCAGCAAAACAGGAAATATATTTAATTCTTTTAAAAAAGCCACAGATGAATCCTCTCCCAAAACTGATTACTATGGGCACAGAAAAGATATATGAATTTTTCTTTATTCAACAGGCTTTGCTAATATTTTTATTTTTTTTTTTTTGCTTGAAATATCATGCCACAGTTTCCTTAGACCGAATTGTTGATGACTGCTCTCAATCAGCAGGATGGATGGTCTAACGAAAAATCGTTTAGGTGTTTTCCCGATTGTTAAAGGGCAAGTAGAGGTTAGCAGTCCATATATTCTTTTGTATAAATTGTAAAAAAATCACACATCAATATTTGCTAAAGCCTCCCTTGTTCTTCAGAACCTCCTTAAGCCGATGTGGCATGGATTCTACCAAATTCTCGCAAGTATGAATTGGTATATCAGCCCAAATATACTACACTCTATTCCAAACCTCCACAATGCTGCTTGGAGGTGTTTCATAATTTCCCAGCCGCCTTTTCTTGATAGACCATAAGTTTTCTATCGGATTGAGGTCTGAGCCTTGGACTGGCCAAATTATTGTCACGTGTGTTTTGCTTTTGAGTCATTCCCTCACCAATTCGAGTGAAGAGTTTCGGGTCATTATGCTGTTGAAACACATTATTCTCTTCATCAAAGTCCATCTAACCCATTGTAAACAGTAAATTACGTTATAAAAGTGTTTTTTGTTTTACTCGATAGGAAAAGGTGATTTTTAAGTATTCAGTTTTGCTTCTTAGTGTGTCCAGTGTACTGTATTCTTCCGACTATCACAATCTTATTGGTTAGAACCATGATATCTCACTTTCTATAATATGGTACTTTATACAACCAAATTTTGGAGAATTTTCAGACTGTTGTACCGAAGAGTCTGTCAATCACCTCGCAGCTGCACTCAGCACGGCCTCATATGTGGTCAGGGAGTAAAAATTTCTCCCAGCGCTTAGAGGTAAAACCCAATAACGTTTAACAGTGAAAAATTGTTAAGGTTTGAACATAGATTATATTGAAGTTCAGGGATGATTTCATCAGCGATAAATTCGCATGGCGAAGAAGCAGAATATCAGTTGGTATAGTGTTTTCCCAAGATATCGTACTATTTACATCTGTTTGAGCCAAAGCACGAAATATAAATACACTTCCTCTACGCCCTATAAAAAGTTGTAACCATAATTTCAGGTGCGAAAACCCTTTACAAACAAACCATGGATCAAGCTACCTTCTATCTTATGCATCGAGGCCAATATTAATTAAGTTTCTTTTTATAGAATTTTTCTACCTTTTCCCACACACTCTTACATGCATATCCCACTCCCCACAAATTATACTAAATGTGCACTATGTCGCCCATCAATCAATGAAACGGATCCATTCCTACCAAACAAGTTCCTTTTGGGCGAGTTATTGATTGCTGTTCATAATCAAAGGAGTCACACCAAAATCCTCTCCATAAC